CATAGGAGATACTCATGACTGTGGAACATAGGAGATACTTATGATTGTGGAACATAGGAGATACTCATGATTGTGGAACATGGGAGATACTTATGATTGTGGAACATGGGAGATACTCATGATATAAATATTATCTAATCTTTGTGGTAGAATAAAACCCTAGTCTTTAGCGCACCAAGCAAAGAGCTGAACAGTAACTATTGAATATAAACCTGTTTCAGTAATGTGGGAATTGAATTCTTTATCCTTTGCCTGTGTAGCAAAGACAGGACGCGACATTTCTTCCACATGCCCAAGTTTCTGTCTGTCTGTGCGTCGTCCACCCATCCCAAGAGGTACCCCTCCAACAACGACCTCCACTTTCTTCCACCAGCTGTTGTATCTCCCCCTACATGTTGTACCTGTCTTCACTCTGACGTCATCTTACCACATTCTTTCTGGTCTCCCTCTTATTCTTTTTCCTGTTTTTACTCTTTGTTCAGTGCATTATTGTGTCCATCTTTTATATCTTCCACTCAACCGAGATGACAAAGCCGTTTCTATTTTCTCAGATCCGAGTATAAATTTGGGGATGTCGGTCAATCCTGGTTACGAGTTTCAAATATCAATAGTCATTAACGATCATTTCTTTCTTGGACAAATATAGATTATTTCCTTCACTTACGCCTGTGAGCACAACGCGTACTAGCCTCGGCTCAGAGCAACACTGTTTTCATTTCCGGATCCCGTATTTGACAGATCTGTTGTTCATAAACTTTCCCAATCTCCACATTTTTGCAGAGACTCGGAAGTCCAGTTGACACAACAGCCCTCCCATTTTGTCCACCATTATCCACTGCACTCGTGCGACCCCAGGAGAGGGGGAGAGGGAGGAAAGAGAAACATGGGATCTGATCAGAACGAAATGATAAAAATCCGGTACTTGTATGACATGGAGACGATTTTGTCTGGATCAATGATCGGTGGATGTAATTAATGGGGGACTACTTTAGGCTGCTCAAGTCTTGGCAATGGCACGGATATGTCATCTCTGCTCTGGCTTTGACTGTTGTTTATTGCCGTTCCTTTCTGCCTTCACTGTTCTCTTTCTATGCCCCCCCCTCTCTCTCTCTCTCTCTGTCTCTCTCTCTCTCTCTCTCTCTCTGTCTCTCTCTCTATCTCCCCCCCTCTCTCTCTCTCGCTCTCTCTCTCCCAATCTCTCTCTCTCTCTATCACTCTCTCT